TAATGTTTAGGTGGAATCTTCTTTCTTGTAGTTTGGATCCATTGCTCCGTGTCCGCTTCTCTGGAGCAGCAGAAAACAACCTTTCTCCCTCCTCTATGTGACATCCTTTTATATATTTGAACATGGCTATCATATCACCCCTTAACCTCCTCTTCCCCAGGCTAAACATGCCCAGCTCTCTTAGCCGTTCCTCATAAGGCATCGTTTCCAGGCCTTTGACCATTTTGGTTACCCGAGGTAATATTTTTGGGTTAGCGGAGTCTGTAACCTGAAGCGTATGTAAGCTTTGTCCCCCGCCTCCAGAGGGGAGTGGGTGACCACGTGGTCCACCGCAACTCCTCCCCACTGTGAAGTGGAGCGGATTTACCCATGCTTAATAGTTCAACATGAACCTCACAAGCTGCAGCAAATGAAATGTCATACAGAGCACTTCTTACCAGCTTAGTTCGCATTTTTGTTTCAGTGACGTTTTCGCTGGGTTGGCCATGCCCACCAAAGGGAAGGCGGGGAGCCTGACTTCAGCCACCAGGCCCAACGCTGCATTATAAAGATGTCTGCAAATGTGACACAAAGGCTGACAACATTAACCCCGCCATGTGGGAATCCCTTGCACATGACAACAGTCCCTGGAGACAGTCAGGTCATGCATCCACAACGTTGACCAGAGGAGGAATGACCACTGGGAGGAGCACACAGACAAGAAATGCCGTGGAGCATCTGTAACAGCAAAAACAGTTGCCTTAATCTGCCCTGCCTGCAATAAAACATCTCTCTCCCATATTGGTCTTTACAGCCACACCAAGCACTGTAATTCTCCAGCTGTTTGACATTACACTGATGGCACACTCTTCCGTTGTCTGCCGAGACAGGTAGATACCAACAAGTGTTTATGCATGAGTTTTCACAAAGATGTGCAGAGAAGGCAACATACAAGTGTGTTCCCAGTACACATCTTTTAAGGTTTTGACTAATCCACACACTTTTGCAAGCAACTTCCTAATATAATGCATTTCTGTATGTTATTGTTCTCATATTGTTTCAGAAAGTGCTAGTTTGATGGATTTTCCTTTAAATGGGAACTAAGTGGAATTTCTCCACCATTTCTAGTCATGATTAACTTAAGTCCCGTCGATTTCAATGGGTCTGGTGCAAATAAAATCAAGTCTGGGTGCAACTCTTGCAGTTCACAATATCATTTGTAAAAAGTTTACCCAAAATTCCATCAAAGACCAAATGGAGACATGGCATGACAGATTCTAGAAAATGGGGACTATCCTTAATAAATGGGACAATTATAGTATATATAGAATGGATCTCAAACTGAATCTCATTTTATTAATTTTTAGCGCAGTAAATTCAGTGGCTTCTGTTACTGCAAAACAGCTGCTTTTCAACAAGAGGTAAGGAAAATGCAAGGGCTTTATAGTTGTAAGTCACAGTGCACTGCACATGCCCAGAAGACCCTGAGTCACTTCCAGATTCAAGGACTAATAAAAATTGGAAGCACTCCAGTAATTTTAAATTACTTTGCACATTGAAGAGTGATTTAAAACCAAGGAGGTGATTCCATTAAAAAAACCACCCACCCACCCAAGAACAACAACTATGTGTAGTTCAGTTTGTAAAGTGAATCTTATAGACAAGCATACCACAGAAGGTTCTGGATGTATTGAACTAAACCAAATGGTTTAAATTCAAGAAGTAAAGGCAAACCAAGAGCACATGCAGTTTACACCAAGGAGCAAGTCTGATGAACTCCCTTCTGCATCGCCACTGATCAAATAAATGTCTGTAGCCATTGGAAAAGGAAAACAGTAGACGGGTCCTCTCCTAAACTCGTGAGGATGTGGCTTCTCTAATTAAATTAAGAGGTGCTTAGAAGTGGTAGGAGCAGGCAACAGTGCTAAATGTTGCTCAATTTCACTTTCCCACTGGTATTTATGCAGCTACTTTTGTGCTTCTCTCAGTGTCCTGGGATAATTGGCTAAACTAGTTGGTCAATGTATGGTGATAGCACTGTGCTGAACATATTCCACCTTGTATGTATGTGTGTTTGAACAACATTTGCCTGCCAGCATGTGGGCTTAATTTCAATATTGTAAGTATTCATTAATAAAAAGGATTCCACCCCCCTGCACTTCTGTAAGGCAAATATTGTTCTTCCTTGTACTTCTCGCCATGGCAAAGTACACTGAGAGCCAGTGTGGTGTAGTGGTTAAGAGCGGTAGTCTCGTAATCTGGTGAACTGGGTTCGCGTCTCCGCTCCTCCACATGCAGCTGCTGGGTGACCTTGGGCCAGTCACACTTCTTTGAAGTCTCTCAGCCCCACTCACCTCACAGAGTGTTTGTTGTGGGGGAGGACGGGAAAGGAGAATGTTAGCCGCTTTGAGACTCCTCAAAGGGAGTTTGGCAGGCCCCCAGCTGGCTCCAGCCACTGGCCGGCAGCTGGGCGAACTCCGGTCTCCCTTGGAACAGCATCAATCAGCGATTCATAGCTGCAGAAGCCTTCAGAAACTTGAGCATTGTGATGGCCTGGGATTCGGACTCGGATGCTGAACCTGAGGGATCCCAACCTGCACAGGATTCCCCGCCTCCAGAACCAGCTGAGCCGGGGCTGGGGCATGAGCCTGAAGGGTCCTCACCTGTCCTGGATCCTCAGGTGCAGGCACCAGCTGAGTCTGCTCTGGCTCCTGAGGGGGTGGATGACCCATTGCCTGCAGGTGCTCCACTCTCAGCCCCATCAGAGGAAGCTGAGGTTGCCTCTGGGTCTGGTAACACTCCAGTCTCTCCTGAGCTGCAGAGGCTCAGGGCAGAGAGGCGGAGGGAACTAAGTTCCCGCAGGAGGAGTGCTCGCCTCCAGGCCAGGAGAGGTGAGTCACCAGAGGATCGGGGCCGCCCTATGCCTCGGGGCAGATAAAAGCCAGCCAGCCCCAGTCCCAAGGTGAGCAACATTGTTGGTTGCTACTTCCTGCCTGAACCCTGTCCTGCTTACCTGCCTGAGCTCCTGACCCGCCCTGGCTCCCTGCTTGCATGCCTGTTCCTGACTTCACCTGACTCCCTGCCCTGCACCCAGCTTCAGCTACTACGGACTGTCTCCACGTTGCACCTTTGACCATGAACCGGACTTGGACCTCACCTCTCAGGTAACCCACGGGACCAACACAAGCATGCTCTGTCAGCAGAGTGAATAAATCTTCACAATGGAAGTGGCAGACAGAGATGTGTGTAAGAATATTTACAGCATTTTATTCAGCAGCAGGACAAAAGAAAAACATGTCTGCTTCCCTTCGTGTCCAAGCAAACAGCAGCAAAGCAAAAGCAATATACAACGGAAGTTCCCAGCAGACTGTGCTGGAAGTAAACAGACATGTGACATACAACAATCCACACATCTGTTCTAAGGGTGGAATGGAACTATATCCTAACATACCCAAGCTATTGATCAGTTATCAGCTAACAAGGTGTCTCAGATTAAGCAAGGATGCAGAATTATCATAGAATTGTAGAGGTGGAAGGACTCCCGAGAGTCAGCTAGTCCAATCCTCTGCAATGCAAGAATCTCAGGAGTCTTGCTCTGCTTTATCCTACCATGCCCAACTGATATTCAAGAAACCAGGTAAGTTGGAGTATATTAGGGATCATGTTGTTTGGAAAGAGCAATGGTGGTGACAGGGAAATAGGGCACACACAGCTCCCTACACACATAATTTTGTGCACGCACACTTTGCAATATTACAGTGCCGGACTAGGAACTGGGAAACCAGGGTTCAAATCGCCACTTGGCCATGAAGCTCACTGGGTGACCTTGGGCCAGTCACTACCTCTCAGCCTAACTGTGGGGTTCCCCGACACCTAACCTACCTCACAGGGTTGTTGTGGGGATCAAACGAGGGGGAAACCTTATGTACCATCTTGGGGAGAGAAATTGAGATATAAATGTAATTAATCAATGAGCCACCGATCACTGCAGTATATAGTTCCACATAAATGTGAGTAGCACAGGACTTTTAAGTTTTGCTTTTGCAAATGCCAGCCACTGTAAACCAGTAGCCCATCAAAGACTACAAGGGATAGGATGGGTTGCTGTGTCATTAAAAAAAATCCCAGAAAGCTAGGAAGTCAAGGTGATGGCTAGTCTCGAACCCTGAAAGGGAATGATTTTTTTTAGTATGGAGAAGCACTCGTTCATGTACCTCCAGGATGAGCTTGCAGTACTGAACGCACAGAGAAGTATCCAGTATAACCTAATTCCAGTCTTTATTACTTTCACATAAATTCATTCACAATCCATCCCATTTATACATTAATCTGGAAAAAGGGTTCCCCCACAAAATGACACAACTTTCAATTTCAGTACATATTTTGAGTATTCTCAAGCATTTCTAAACATATTTTCCCCTCAAAATAAGACTTTTATAATGTATTTCATCCTAAAATACGTATTTTAAAATTCATGCTTTTGAGCTGAGAACTATGTTGGAAAATTTGGAGAAACGAGAGATCTGAAAGGATAAATAAATTCTAATCCGCACATTAGAGGGCAGGATCAGGCCATTTCATATCAGAATCCACAAAAACAGACTTCCTCAACCACCACAGCTGTAGAGCTATGGATTATTATTTTATTTCCATATTTTTCTGAAAGCTTCTTACCTTTGTTTAACGAGGCTTTGGCTATCTCTGATGAGCTTCAAAAATGCATTCACATCCACCAAATGTGTGGATTTGTATCCCATCCCAAATTGTCATACTTCTGATTTCTGGGTTTCTGACGCATTTTGGAACTGTAAGGAGTTTGCTGCTCCCCCCCCCAATTTTATTTCACATTGTAATAGAGTAGCCTTTCAGAGAGAACCATAATTATTGACTTCTGTAATGGCCACTTTAGTTGAAGCTATTTGGTAATTCTGCAATCCAATAGTCCAATACAAGCAAAAATTATTACCCACCATAAAGGCTTGAATTGTAAACATTTAATGCGAAGAATTTCCTTCTCGCCTCTGGCCTGCTCCAAAAGTATTCCATACACACTCCTGGATGCTAGCTATCTTGGCTGCTTTCAGAAAGTCCGGGAAAATTGGTTCTTACAGGAGACATTGACTTCTCCCTGCCCTTACCTATATAAAAATACGGGCATTTATGAGTATTAGGAAGATGTTTTCATTGTTTGGTTTAAATAATGTAGACACAATACTCATAGTCTTAAAGCACTTTTGAAACATCCGGGGTGTTTCAGCGCAGCTTTAAATTGGGCTGATTGCCAATTACAGTTTTAAGTGGAAGATGGAGGGAGTCATTTTTCTTGGAGTTCCTTTACAGTTCACTCTCTTGTCTTGGTGCTAATTCTCTTTCTTGCCATTGGGTAAAGAGGGGGGAGGATTGGAATACCCTGCCGGAGGGCCTCCAAAAACTGTACATCTGTCATAGATCATGTCACAGAACAGAAATGTTTGTTTTTTCACCCATTCATTTCTGCTGGCAGCCAGTTATTATTAGAATGAAAAATTAAGCTATTATGCAGTGGGAAGCCTTGCTGGCTCTACAAAATTTATGACATTAATACAAGAAAATTATCCTTTATAGCTCATATAAGCAGCTGTATGTATAATGCAGACTCCTTCTGGATAACCCCACAACAAAATGGCCACCCCATCCATCCTTTTTCTTATTGAAAAGATCTCTCTGCATCAGAATTGCATTCCAATGGGTACGATGAAGGCCGGGTGGGGCCATATTAAGAATGTAGGCCCTCCCCAGAAGTATATGCTTCCAGAGATACAGTGGTGCCTCGCAAGACGAAATTAATCCGTTCCGCGAGTCTCTTCGTCTAGCGGTTTTTTCGTCTTGCGAAGCAACCCTATTAGCGGCTTAGCGGATTAGCGCTATTAGCGGTTTAGCGGCTATTAAAGGCTTAGCGGCTTAGCGGCTAAAAGGCTATTAGCGGCTTAGCGGCTTAGAAAAAGGGGGGGAAAGCGAAAAAAATCTCAAGACTTGCAAGACATTTTCGTCTTGCGAAGCAAGCCCATAGGGAAATTCGTCCTGCGAAGCGCATTGAAAAACGGAAAACCCTTTCGTCTAGCGGGTTTTTCATCTTGCGAGGCATTCGTCTTGCGGGGCACCACTGTATTTTCAGCTCAGACTGGACCCTGGCTTAAATTGTAGCTCAACCCAAGCAAGAAACATATTAGCTAACTGACACTGAGGAAATCATCAGGTCTGGTTAATGTAGGAAGTAACAAGACCTTTTTAACAAACCAGTTCTTGGGCATGAAATCTTTTGACTCACCTACTGGAAATGCCAAAGGGAAGAAGGGTCATTTTATCACATGTGAAAAGGCGAAAGGGTTTTGGGAAATGATATCTAATGAGTTGAAAAGGATGTTTAAACTGATAATTCCTAAACAAAAACAAAACAAAACAAAAAAAACCCCTGAAACCTTTTTGGTAGGAATAATGGGGACACAAGTCCTGAAAAAGCTGGCTAACTTATTTATGTAGGCGACAACAGCAGCTAGAACTTTATATGCACAGAGGTGGAAGAAGGAAGGATTACCAAGGAAGGAGGAATGGCTTATGAAACTGATGGACTATGCTGAAATGGCAAAATTAATTGCTAAATTAAGAGGACATAACGACAAAGTGTTCAAGGAGGAATGGAGACCATGGACGGATTATCTGTCAAAGTATCGCCCATACGTGGAGTCGTGGGCAGGATTTGAGATATAAGCAGTGGGTTATTGAAAGAACTAATGAGAGTGAAGTTTAGATAAGAAAAACAGCTAATGTGTTGTAAAACAGCTAATAAAAAGAAGAAAAACATCGGGAAAGGAGGGATGGGAAGTCAAGAGGAACTTTGCGTTAAAAATGTATATGACAATAAATGTTTTGGAATATTAAGATTTAATAAAAATGATATTTAAAAAAAGAAATATTTTGACTCCATAGGCTGAAACACTACACCAAGCATTCCTCAGAGCAGCCCCTTTGAAATTAACAACCATGAGGAAGTTAGGTCCATTAATTTCAGTGGGTTTAATTTGAGTAAAACTTAGTCGACTACAACTGCTTGGGTAGAAAGGGAAAGGCGTCAACTTGGCCTTTACTTTCCATTCTGAATCCAAAGAGCGGCACATCTGTTTAACAAATTCAGAAGTACAAAAGGCAGATGTTCAAGAAGATCATGAATGTGATCCATAGCAGGGCTGGCCCAAGGCATTTTGGCCTCTGAGGCAAACCACAAAATGGTGCCCACCTTCCGCCAGAGAAGGGGTTGGGCGAAGCTCTACATCACAAACACGGGGGTAAGAAAGATCTACATTGGGAAGAAGGGTGGGCTGGCCCCGATTCAGAATGTGATTCGGACAGTGCCACGGACACAGTCCACATATTCCCTCCCTCTCCTGCTGCCTGTATCCAGTATGGTGAAAGTGGGTCATTGATAATGAAACAAAGGTAATTAGAAAAAAGACTAAAACTGCAATCCTGCTTGCTCTGCATGTAGAGAAGGGGGCATGGAATGGCTCTCTTGGAAAAGGAACATTGCTGCCATCCCTATCATGCTTCCTCCTGGACTACAATGGTGCAAGAGCATTACTAGCCAAAGTAGTCAGAGAAGTCTGAATTCTCTGTGACTGAAGGTGGCCCACTACAGTATGGGTTGGAAGTAGACTATTCAGCACCAGCTCCATGTTTCCTCTCCTCTTTCCCCAACCCCCCAACCCAATATCTAGGGCAGGGATGTCCAACTCTCAATAGACTTCGATCTACTCAAAGTATTAAAAAAATCTGGCAGTGATCTACCCAAAGTCATGGAGCTTTTTTTAGGAAGCCAAAGTTGGGGTGTTTGGGGTGTTTTCTTTTTGTTTTTGTAAGGAGATCGCTGAGGAGTCAGAGGTCAACCAGTATCTACCATGAACACCCTGTGATCTACCAGTAGATCACAATCTACGGTACCTGTTGGACATGCCTGATCTAGGGCAACAACCTTCTATTTGAGGGTTGAATTACCTTACGGGTAATTTGTTTGGAGCCAGAAGCAGGTGGCAGTGTTGCATAGATCTTCCTCACTTTCACTTAGGGTGTATTCAGGCAGCACATCACTCCATCTTCCTGACATTTTCTTACCTGTTAATCTTTCACACAATGTAAAAGCCACTAGTGGAAACCTAGGGGAATCTAGCAGTGGTTTAACACTCATTTCTGTGTTAATTGTTTCCTTGGGGGTGGCAACCCTCAGGAAAATTGTGGGATTTTTGCGTTGCAATTTCACATGATTAAATCGGGGGCTGTTTCCTGGCACACAGTCCTCTCTTGCCATTTAGAAATTAGCACAACGTGGTGGGTGTCAACCAAAAAGCCACCATCCCATAATTCAGCAAATACTGCAATGTAAAAGAGCTGTTCAAAATCAGCACAGAAGCCAGTGTAACGAATGCAAGGAAAGCTAACGCAATAAACCCCATGTCTGAATGCAAGCCCACTCTCATACACACACAATTCCTGGAAGCAATTCCTGGAGGGGTTGTCCAGAGAGCAGGAGTGGAACCATTGCATCTGCTGAGCTGCTGATTCCCTGCCATTAATCTAAGAAGACCCAGCAGGCTTAGTTTAGAATTGTTTCTATAATATTTCCCTACTGTGAAGAACCATGACGGGGGGGAAAGAGGGAAATGCCTTTCGCGGATTTCCTGCCTTGATACGAAATTCGTACAGCTGATGAAGTGACCAAGTGACTTGGCTCCAAATCAGGAATAAAAAGGTAAAGGTAAAGGACCCCTGAGAGTTAAGTCCAGTCGCAAACGACTCTGGGGTTGCAACGCTCATCTTGCTTTACTGGCCAAGGGAGCCGGCATTTGCCTGCAGACAGTTTTTCCGGGTCATGTGGCCAGCATGACTAAGCCGCTTCTGGCGAACTAGAGCAGCACACAGAAACACCGTTTACTTTCCCGCCAGAGTGGTACCTATTTATCTACTTGCACTTTGATGTGCTTTCAAACTGCTAGGTGGGCAGGAGCAGGGACCGGACAACGGGAGCTCACCTGCAGGGATTCGAACCACCGACCTTCTGATTGGCAAGCCCTAGGCTCTGTGGTTTAGACCACAGTGCCACCCGCGTCCGTAAATCAGGAATAGTCCCCAGTTTAAATATTTTCTCTGCCTACAACTCACTAGGTAGTACTAAGGAAGCCACTCTGCGTCTGCCCCCTCTCTGCAATTTGCAGATACAGTGGTACCTTGGTTCTCAAACACCTTGGTTCTCAAATGCTTTGGTTCCCAAACACTCAAAACCTGGAAGGAAGTGTTCTGGTTTCCGAACATTTTTCAGAAGCCGAGCATCCGATGCGGCTGTCGGCTATATTTCGGGGGCGCCTGCACCAATCAGAAGCCACGCCTTGTTTTCCGAACATTTCAGAAGTCAAACGGACTTCCAGAATAGATTAAGTTCAAGAATCAAGGTACCACTGTATTTTGTGCTTTTGTTTTTGCTATTTATTTTGCGTTTTTGTTTTTGAGGCTTTTTCGGTTAATTTGTTTTTGTGACTGTGTGGAACCCAGATCAGCTACTGATTAATTGATTGTGTGAATGTGGAAATGGATAAAAGCCCCCCATCCAAACAATGACTATCATCAGTGCAGGTAAGAAAGAAAAATAATTTTAATTTTCATCATCTACAATACTGTCTTATTTATTTTATAGTACAGTACATTGTTTATTGCTTTCATTTTATGGATCAGTGGTCTTGTTAGATAGTAAAATTCATGTTAAATTGCTGTTTTAGGGGTTGTTTTTAAAAGTCTGGAACGGATTAATCCGTTTTGCATTACTTTCTATTGAAAAGCGCACTTTGGTTTTGGAACGCTTTGGTTTTGGAACGGTCTTCCAGAACAGATTAAGTTTGAGAACCAAGGTACCACTGTAATAATACTGACCCACCTTCCAGGAAAGTTGTAAGCCTGTAAAGACTGCATCAATGTCTTATTAGTTAGTTATTGTTATGAATCAGAAACAGGACTTTGGACCCAGCTTTAGGCCCAAACCATCCTTTAAATCACTGTTTTCCCAGAACTGATGGTCATGTCATAAGGGTTTGGTTTTTTTAAAAAAGTAAAACCAGCTTAAAATACTGCAGTGAGAGTGTTGTCAGTGATGCTGAATAAATAGGGATGGACTGAAGAAGTACAGTGAACAGCAGATGCCGTGGCTTTTGTTCTGAAGCGACTTCTGCCTGCCAGATTTTGCCCTCCAGGCACAATGGCAAAGCAAGGCTTCCACCTGTTATCTCTCACCATTATGGGCTGTTCTTTCCCCCCCCCAGTTGAAGTTTGGGTTTAAAATCGTACGTCTTCCCAGGATTTAGAGCTCATCATCCCAGCTGTGTTGCGCACTGTCCTTACATGAAACATCTGGAGACATAGTGTAAACAAAGTTCACCTCTTCTTGCTCATATCTAAAAGCTGTTATGTGACTTACTTGGTCATTGCTTTACGGAGGAGTATTTTTCTTTTATCATTTTTTCTCAGAATTTTTTTTAAAAATATATTTTGCACTATACCTGCATATATGTTATATACAGTGGTATCTCCGGTTACAAACTTAATTCGTTCCGGAGGTCTGTTCTTAACCTGAAACCGTTCTTAACCTGAGGTACCACTTTAGCTAATGGGGCCTCCCACTGCCGCCGCACGATTTCTGTTCTCATCCTGAGGTAAAGTTATTAACCTGAGGTACTACTTCCGGGTTAATGGAGTCCGTAACCTGAGGTGTCTGTAATCTGAGGTACCACTGTACATATTTATGCAAAGGGATGGAGCAACTTCCCTAAGAGGAAAGGCTGCAAAAATTGGGGCTTTTCAATTTAAAGAAAAAGAGAGTAAGAAGAGAAATCATGGAGGTGTATAAATGGTGCACACTGTGGTGAAAGTGGACTGGGGGAATTTCTTCTCCCTCTCCAATAATACCACCTGGGGACTGAACATTGGAACATTGGAAGAATCAGGACATATGAAAGAAAATTCTTCTTCGCACAGTGTGTAGTTAAATTACAGAATTTGCTTCCACAAGACGAAGTGATGACCACCAACTTGGATGACTTTAAAAAAGGCACACCAGGTCACCTGTAAGCAACACATGCCTTCATCTTTACGAGAAAACTCAGTAAGTGTGCATACACAATAGCAAGTAACACACCAAGCCCTGATCTATATCCAGTTAGGCATAAGTGGAACAAAATATTCAAAAGCCACCTAACACAATGTGGAAAGGTCCTCCATAGTATTAAGCTAGGCATTGTACTGAGGTTAATCCCACAGAAAATATTCCTCTGGGCCAACTGAACTCCTGCTTGTCTTAAACACATAGGCATTGCACCCATGGGGGGCTGCTAGAGATGCATACAGCCACAAAGAGACCTCGTTCACCTCCTATGGAACAGCCTGAACAGAACCTTCCTGAACACAAGGGCAGGCTAAAATTAACTTGGTCCTAGACAAATCCACATTAATAGGAGGCACCAGCATAATACTTGACTTCATAACTGACAGAAAAAGACCATTGTAAGGTCAGGAAGGATGTTTCCAGCAAGCCAAGCTGGCAGCAAAACCAATAATGCTCTAGCAATTGAAAGTCTGGGCCACACAAGCATGGGAAACCGGATTTGAGACCTCCTACAGGTAGTTGTGGATGCGGGTGGTGCTGTGGGTTAAACCACAGAGCCTGGGGCTTGCCGATCAGAAGGTTGGTGGTTTGAATCCCCACGACGGGGTGAGCTCCCGTTGCTCGGTCCCAGCTCCTGCCAACCTAGCAGTTCGAAAGCATGTCAAAGTGCAAGTAGATAAATAGGCACCACTCCGGTGGAAAGGTAAACAGTGTTTCCGTGCGCTGCTCTGGTTCGCCAGAAGCGGCTTAGTCATGCTAGTCACATGACCTGGAAGCTGTACTCCAGCTCCCTTGGCCAGTAAAGCAAGATGAGCGCCGCAACCCCACAGTCGTCCGTGACTGGACCTAACGGTCAGGGGTCCCTTTCCCTTTTACAGGTAGCTATCAGAGAAAAAACTGCTCTGTAAATGACATGAAGGGTCGAAACAGTACTTTTGAATAGTTTCACATACATTATCCTCTCTTCCTCAAAATGCTTACATTGCAGGCTGAGACTGAAAAGAGGTTGCCTAATGTCACCTTGTGAGTTCATCGCAGAAGCAATATTCAAAACTGGCGCTTTTTGATTCATAGCTCAGTCTCTCAACCGCCACCAAGTCATGGCAATCTGTCACAGTAACTGCTGTTCTTCCTAGGCAGACAGTTCTCACCCTGGGAACCCATACACTCCTGTGATCTGTGGTAGAAATCCCGTTGTTTGGACCCTTTCCATTTAAAACCCAACTCTCTCCAGATGAACCACACCCAGCCCTAGATTGCAGTACTTACAGGGCGTACGAAGGATGATCTCATAGTAAAACATTTTGGCGGATGATTTTTGAAAGAGTGGTTGCTTGTTTAAAAGAGATAGCGATCATCTTTGCTGTGTGTTGTCTCAGTACACAGCCAGGCTGCTGTAATAATCAACAGGTCTCTTCCATCTGGTTGTCTTACCAACTATCTGCTGAAATGTGTGTGCCAAGCATAGCTTTGGATGGCATTGAGATGGAGCTACTCTTCCATCACGAGGCTTTTGGTTGTCATTCTTAGGAGGGTTTTTTGGGGGGAGGTTTTTGGTGGGCGTTCTTTCTTAAGCTGAATAGGTAGTTTGCATGACTAAACTCCATTGCATTCCAACCATTTGATTCCATGAGGATGAAGCAGATTCTGCTCTTTCCTTTCCTTCTTGCTTTAGCGGCACAAAACTGTGACTCATCATTTTATAATTCAGTTCTATAATTTGTCTGGCATTATATTGCAGTAGACACCAGTCAGCAGATTTCTAAAAGATCAGCACCAGTGGGGTTAATAAATTATTCCCTTTCCTGGAAGAAAAGGAAAAAGAAAATGGCCCTCCGAACCCTTGTGCTGCCTTCCCCTAGCGTGGTGAGTAAAATATAATATGCTATTAGAAACATATTTTATTTTAAAAAATGGTGCTTCCACAAAATTATGTGGCAGGAAATACCATTTTAAAAGGTTATTTAAAAATAATTTCCCATTTTTGTTTAAATGTGCCTTCATAGAGAGGAGTAGTTTGACTTCCATGCTCTTTTTCTTAGGGCAGCATTTAAAAGAAATACTTTTGACTTTTTTCTCTCTCTCCCGGAGATAATCTTATGAATTAACTTATTCAATTTCACAGGACCAGAAAAATCAATATCCCACCCCGGCATTTAAAACTCCCCATGCTCCTACTTGAAGGCTAAGGAATATCAAATGATATTGCAAGCATATTTGGCTCGCAAAGATCCTGATATCTGAAAAATGTATCTTTCCCAAATAAGGGTTTCATGCAGGACTCACCATGCATTGCCAAAACTGTTTTTTAATTATTTTTAAAGGGCAAGTCATGCACAAATTATTATTTTTGTTTATTTCAGAAAGTGTTAACAGAGCTACCCTCTCTTTTACTTTGAGGTGCTGCATTTGGTGAAGAAAACTAGGAGAGGTGGTATTGAGAATTGTTAGTAGCTTGGTACAGGGCCATTTTTAGCACATGCACCCCTGGGGTGCAAAGATCCGCCCAGTGCCCCCAAATTTAGTTTAGCCGCCCTCAGATTTTTTTGGGGGGGCCAACTCAAGGTTGTTGACTTTTTTGAGGGGGAGGAAAATCGCTCACCTGTAACAACAACACAGTGGAAATAACTGCTTTTGTTTCCTGACTCGTCGGGAATATTTGACGCTACGGAGTAACAGAGCGACGGAAGAGGGGGGCGGGGACTTTTGCTCCATTGCTTTTCACTGCCGCTGATCGAGAGCGACTGGTATACAGTAGGTATACATTTGGCACCCCTCAGAATACATTTGGTGCCCCCCAGAATTCAGTGACCGGGTGCACTGCACCCCTTGGACCCCCGGGTAAAGACGGCCCTGGCTTGGTGGGAAATTACACTGGATTCAGGGTGTTCTCCTGAATTCTCTTCCAGCTTATTAAAATTGTTCATTAGATCTTTTCTCTTTTTGAGGTGTTGAAATAGCTTCTTCCTTTAAAAGTCTTTAGCTATGCAGTCACTCTCCTCTGCAATGCATAGGATGAAGGCAAGCAGGCCAAAGAGGCTGGTTTGATGCCAAGACGAATGACAAGGTGGCCTCGGCCAAGCTGTGAAAATCAGCAGCATGGGAGTTTTTATAGAGAGTCCCATGGACTGCAAGAAGATCAAACCTCTCCATTCTTAAGGAAACCAGCCCTGAGTGCTCACTGGAAGGACAGAACTTGAAGCTGAGGCTCCAATACTTTGGCCACCTCATGAGAAGAGAAGACTCCCTGGAAAAGACCCTGATGTTGGGAAAGATGGAGGGCACAAGGAGAAGGAGACAACAGAGGACGAGATCGTTGGACAGTGTTCTCGAAGCTACCAGCATGAGTTTGACCAAACTGTGGGAGGCAGTGGAAGACAAGAGTGCCTGGCGTGCTCTGGTCCATGGGGTCACGAAGAGTCGGACACGACTAAATGACTAAACAACAACAAATAGCACCTGATTTGCCCTCCCATATCACCCAAATTCCCAGGCCAGGGAAGATTGTGATGGTATTACAGTGGTGCCCCGCAAGACGAATGCCTCGCAAGACGAAAAACTCGCTAGACGAAAGGGTTTTGCGGTTTTTGAGCTGCTTCGCAAGACGAATTTCCCTATGGGCTTGCTTCGCAAGACGAAAACGTCTTGCGTTTTTTGCAAGTTTGTTTCCTTTTTCTTAACACCGTTAATACAGTTGCGACTTGACTTCGAGGAGCAACTCATAGAACGCGGTGTGGTAGCCTTTTTTGAGGTTTTTGGTGATTTTTGAAGCTTTTCCAAAACTTTTCCGACACCGTGCTTCGCAAGACGAAAAATTCGCTAGACGAAAAAACTCGCGGAACGAATTAATTTCGTCTTGCGAGGCACCACTGTATGAGGCTCTGTGTTGGAATTGTCTCTAGCAGCTGTTGCCAACCTGAAGTCATCCAAGTATTTTGGACCACATAGGATAACTGCCTTATACTAAGTCAGACCATCTAGCCTGGTATTGCCTACACCAGCCTTTGCCAAGCTGGTGCCTTCCAGATGTTTTGAACTGCAACTCCCTTCAGCCCCAAACAATCTGAGCACTGGCTGGCGGGTGAAGAGAGTTGGAATCCAAAACATCTGAAGGGTAACAAATTGGTGAAGCCCAGTCTGTAGTCTCTCTCCATCCACAATAGCCAGCAGCTCTTGCGAGGCAAACGTAAGCAACCCAGGCTCCATCCTTCAGCCCTGTGGCACCTGACACTCTGATGTGTACACAGAGCTTCCAGGTGTGCAAAGGCTTTCTCATTGGCTGCTATGAGAGCTCCTACACATAAATCATTGTGAACACTGGTGCTTCCATGGAGCTTTGGACTAGGTTTCATGTCTCAAAAATGTTTCAGCCTATAATGTCTGGTCATGAAAGCTTTAGGATTTAAGCAAGGTAGTACTGGTATGTGACATAAATGGATTTAGGTGTACTCTATATATGCAATAGGGCTTTGTTCTGATGAGCACACAAGGGAAATAGAATAGGTTAGATTTGTATTGTATCCATGTCTTGATTGCGCCTATACAGTCAAACTTAACATAACCTAATGCTGTATGGGAAGCAGATCCCTATGTACAACAGATAACCTGCCCTAAAGCTGAAGAACACTGGTTTAAGAGAAGAGTTGGGGTACTCAAAAGCATGAGAATTGAAACCTAAGACATTCACACTTAACCTCTGTGGTATGTAAGCAGTAAGCTTACATGGGTCCCAGGTGAGGATGGCCAGCATTCCTCCTTCTGTCTGCTTAGCGGCCGTGATTGATTGTCCGTTGCAATGTTGCTGCCTGATAAAGTCTTAGATAACTGCCTCCACATTTTCCTTTCTAACTTTCTTTGTAGATGTCCAATTGACTTACATCTTTAAAACATGAACGTGAAGAGTCAGGAGGCCCTGCTGGTTCAGGACCTGGTACCTGTGGACCCCCTGTACCCCCCCTGTCAGTAGCCCTAGTGTCCTGTGGAGCCTATTAAGATTGCTAGACTATAGAGATTAGTGTGAATGAAATGACTTCTATAGTTGAAGCATAAAACATGCTGTCTTCAGGCACATGTTTAATCTACCAGGGATGCCCTTCTTTGCATGTCCATCTATTGTCTAAAGTGGCTCTCTTGTTGTCTTAAGCATCACAGGTAAATTACCAGATTAACGGTAGTGTGCACTCAGCCTTTACGCAGATAGCTAAGATCTTCCTCTTTTGAAAGTTCTTTTCTAGGGAAAAGCTACTGGTTGGGTTTTTGAGTAGATTTTATGGGTTTTGCTGGTGGTTTAAAGTATGTGTTTCATTGCTGTGACATTTGAGTTATAGCTGATGCACTTTTATGGATATAGTGTTGCGTTTCTTTTCATAATGTTTTCAGAAGCTATGGTTGGAAAGCAGAGTATACGTTGGTAAATAAATACGTGCAAGGGAAGAGTTCAAGTTATAGACTGTCATCTTAAATAAGTTTATATGAATAAGTTATTTTCACCATATATTTTTATTGGGGCTACACATGCCAGCCTTAGTTACATAAACATACAGCACAGACAATATTCCCCCAATCAATATCAAAAATAAATGAATAATATATTATCGCAAGTGATGTGGTTACATGGATTATATTTTCGCTGTCAGTCGATATTAGCTATCAGATTTTGTATTAAACTATCAGAATTAAGATGATTGGGAGGAGCAGGGTTGTAGAAAAATCACACTTTTGATGAAGTGACAGTTGCACCTAATTGCCAAATAAGACTGTGTTGTGGAGGGGAAGCAAAGAATACTGTAAGTCAGGAAAGAAATGAAATCATTACTGGCTTAGAGTACTTCCAGGTGGGAACCTTAGATCACAAATGGATCATTCAGATCTGATCTTTATGTGTGTGCGTTTGGCGCATTAGCTTTGGCGCACTGCCATTTTCTCAGTCATGGATAAGGGATGTAGGAGAGGGTGCTATTGGTTTGTGGGGGTTTTGCCTTGTTTTTCGTGTTTTTATCTTGTATTTTTATGTTGTGAACCACCCCAAGATCTATGGATGAGGGTGGTGTACAAATCTAACAAATAAATATTTTGCCACTTGCCGTTTAGCCCAGTGGGTGAAGCTTGATGGAATGCATTTGGAATGCATTTTTGTTCCTCCCCTCAGTTACTTTATCCCAACCCTCTACCACCTGCTTTCTATTCTTGAAATTTTTCACTTCTGTGTGCATATATTTTAAATTTTAAAAATAAAACAGGTGGTACCCACCATGTCATCACATCTGTTCTTGGTTCCTATTGGCTCCATTGCTCCCACTGTGCTCAACGAGATCAGAGCATAGCACACACAAGAGATGATGTGTACCTCCTCTTCATTCAGAAAACGTTAGGACTTGCCATTTGTATTTCTCTAACAGAGAGAGAGAGAGAGAGAGAGAGGCTATATTTTGCAAATACCCAACTTGCTCTATCTGATCCATTAAATATTTATTAGCCAGTGTCTGCCCGTTGAGGACTTGGAGGGAGGGGGGAGGTTAGTGTTATTGTCTGTCTGGTCAGAGAGTAATCTCATTGGCCAAAGATAAAAGTTGATTAGGATCATAAATGTAGCCTCCCTGCAAATGTCATTTAATGATGTAAGATGGGGGTGAGGTGGGGGGTTACTCTTTCTGATCAGTCCAAGCAGCAGTTTCTCAAATGAACAAAATGTTTGGGGAGGGTTGAAGCTTAATGACTCTTTATTCAACTGAATGGACAAGCAGCAAGCTCTTGGCATATACTCCCCCAGATCACTGGAGGCAGAACACTCTCTGGAGCTGGCACAGGCATCAGGCAGATGATAACACTAATGTACTTTCCTTTTTCTGAAAACAATTAAACCATGAGAGACTGAGACTCTTTATGACACGTAGCGATTTGTTGAAAATCAGTTATCTGCTAAAAGGGGGTGGGGGAGGTCCGTTATATTAATCAGACCAACAAAGTCATAAATTTATTTTCATAAAAGAAAGGCGCTTGGACCTGGACAGTGCTGATTGCGATGGTGATTCTCAAGCACGCCATGAAAGCGATTTACTATCTATGGTATACTTAATAAACACTATAGTGTGGCTTTCTGTGGCTAATAAAGCTTGCTTTACGTTATGCCCCTTGTCTGCTAAGATTTGCCTCCTAGGGCTCACTTAGAGTGCATTAAGAAGTTGAACACCAAGATCAGGGTGATTTGCTGCAAAACCTAAATAATTCATGCTGCTTTCAGCTGGTGTTTTTGCAAATGCTGTAACGAGACAAGCTGCAAAATGTTTTACATGGAGGGAAAACACAGATTACCACTAAAGGAAAACCCTTTTGCGCAGAACTGCCTCTTGGGGCCCTGTCTCATGTTGCCTTTGCGGTGTGGGAACCCTACAGCGGTACAGCGCGGCTTCTTCCCACACCACGAAGGTGATGCCAGAAGAACCTGGCCATGTTGGAGGAGCTCATTTTTGCAGTTCCTCTCCATGCCAGAATTGCCCCTTCTTGAAAAGATGGAGGGGGTTTCACTGTGTGGGCTTTCCCCCTTGCTGTGGGGCTTCTGGTGTTTCCTTTGCCATGCACAAAGGAATGGTGCTGTGCATAAGAAGAGCTCTGTGGGATCAGACCAAAGGATGTAATCGAGCGTTTTGTTCCCGCAGTGGCCAAACAGATTTGCATGCAAAGCCCAGAAGCAGGACATGAACCCAATAGCCTTCTCTTGCTCAAGATCCCCAACAAGTGGTACTTAGAGATTTTCTTCTTCTTTGGCGATCACTTGTAGCCGAGTAAGATTGTCTTCCATAAACACGGTTTTAACAGTGAGTCCGTAAGTGACTGTGGAGGCCAATTCTGGATCCACACATCCTACCACAGTGGAGAGATAGGTTTCTGGGCAGGAGCTGAACACAGTGAGGGTTTGCCAAGCGTGCCTTCCTCTTAGCTTCTAAAAAAAAAAGTGTAGTATAAATACCAACAACTGGGGAACACTGCCCTGCGAGTGCTCCAATTGGAGAACAGCCTTTACCAAAGGTGTCAAGGGCTTTGAAGACTTGGAGATATATCTCCTCTGACACTGGACATAATATATCCAACATTCATTACTAGTAGCCATTGATATACTTATCTTCCAAAACATTGTCCAATCTACTCCTAAAGGCATCTAGGCCTGTGTCCTTCATCACATCTAGGAAAACCAGATCCCAGCCTAGCAAAGGCCTGTGTGAAGGAGTGCTTCAGTTTTTTTATGTCCCAATTGTGATCGGGACGCCAGGTTTGAATGTTACGAAAGAGAAGATCTCATGCTAAAAAGATAACATAAGAAGAAGCTTTTAAATGTCTGCTGCAGCACATTCAATGAAGATTATTGGAGATGTCCAAGTAGTGGTGGAACTTCATGCTCCAGCACTGGGGGGCGAGGAGCAGGTGGAGGCGTGGCTGGTGTGCGTCCTGGAGGCGTGGAGCGCTGCCCGCAGGGGCGTGGCATGCGTCCTGGGGCATGGCACGCTGTCTGTGGGGGCATGGCGCCCAGCACAGGCGAGGGGGCAGCTGCGATGGCACCCCACCGGGATCGCGCTGCCGGGGGCGGTGCGCTCCCCCCACACTCCTCTTCCTCCGCCAGTTTCTCTGAGGCATATTCTGGAACCCTGAGACGGACGTCTATTTCCTTGTTCTCAAGGACCAAATATTCTGAACAACAAGTGGAATTGATGGGGACATTTGTAAGAAACTGAAGAAGTCAGGACAGAACTCTGGGCCTGCAGGGCAAGTGAGGGAAGGAGAGGTATCCTGGCTGGATTGTGGGTAGGACATCCAATGGTTGCTGGAGGAAAGGAAGAAAATACATGTATGTAGCAATGAGAGACATGGTGGAATTGGCAGGGTGAGAGGGGGCATTCATTAATTTTACCTGTGTTAAGCAAAAATTAGCACAAAGACTGCATAGCAGGAGACCGCAGTCTATAATACAAAAATATTCCCCTCTTCTCTAAATAGTGAGAAGTCTAGGATGGGAATGAAGGATTTCGTTTCCGTTGGATGATTTATAGTGTCTTTGTAATATATGTTTATATGCTAATATACAAGCAGAGTCTATTGAAAACAAACAGACTTAGATACAAAATATAACAGGCAGCACAACCACTAATCCTGTGCAAGGTTCCCAAAATAGCAACTGCATCCAGATTTTGGCTAAATGCTGCTAAAAACTTTTGTACTTCTCACCGTTTCTTAAAATTTTGATAAAATTTCATCCTGCAGAACATTACCCAGATAGCACACATCAATCTTCTTTTCTTCCCTGCAACTTTGGAGGGGGGAAAAACACTTAGAGGTTTTCTTCATGAAGCAGTACATAGGTTTTGCTAAATAAATAAATAAGATACAGCACATCCCATTCATATTTACGATTGTATGCCAATCCATATTTTGTGGTTCAGCTGAACAGTGTTGCTAAGTCTCTCCTTCTTTAATATACATGTATATACAACCTGCATTTCCTAAACAGATTAATCAGTATTTCCGCCATCTGTTTTATAGTTTGTTTTTAAAATCCATGCAGCATGCCAAATGGTAAAGCCAGCTGAGCTCTTGTTTTGGGAGAACGGCTGCAGGACAACACAGTAGTGAAAACTGCTAAAAAGGAAGAAGCGTTGAACAGCTCAAGATGTTATGCTGTTGAATCAACAAGCAGTGACCCAAAACCTACATAACACAAGACGCTGAAACCTGGTGGCATAAGAGCACTTCTTCTGAAAGGGTCAGATCTGCACCTTACATTTAGAGCAGTATCACACCATTTGGGGGAAGTCATGGCTTCCCCCGAAAGAATCCTGAGAACTGTAGTTTAAGGGTGATTAGGGTTGTTGTGGTGTAGTGGTTAAGAGCGGTGGACTCGTAATCTGGTGAACCGGGTTCGCTTCCCCACTCCTCCACATGCAGCTGCTGGGTGACCTTGGGCTAGTCACACTTCTCTGAAGTCTCTCAATCTCACTCACCACACGGAGTGTTTGTTGTGGGGGAGGAAGGGAAAGGAGATTGTTAGCCACTTGGAGACTCCTTAGGGTAGTGATAAAGCGGGATATCAAATCCAAACTCTTCTTCTTCATCTTATAGAGCTGCAATTGTCAGAGTGCCCCGGGAAGAGGTATTCACTCACTCTGGGAATTGTAATAGCAGACAAAAACGTATTATACTGGGGGAAATTGCTTGCAGAAGATGTATACAGTAGTCAAACTGTGTAGGAAAATTAATAGAAACTCACACTGTAATGCCAAATTATTTTAATGAGTTTTGGTTTCTTTTTGTTTTGGAAAGGAGACGCTGAGGGTGAGAGATAGTGACCAGCCTAAAGCAGCTTAGAAACTTTAGCAGTAAATGTTGGGCTGGACCTGGAGATGTTGTTGTTGTTTAGTCGCTTAGTCGTGTCCGACTCTTCGTGACCCCATGGACCAGAGCACGCCAGGCACTCCTGTCTTCCACTGCCTCCCACAGTTTGGTCAAACTCATGCTGGTAGCTTCGAGAACACTGTCCAACCATCTCATCCTCTGTTGTCCCCTTCTCCTTGTGCCCTCCATCTTTCCCAGCATCAGGGTCTTTTCCAGGGAGTCTTCTCTTCTCATGAGGTGGCCAAAGTATTGGAGCCTCAGCTTCAGGATCTGTCCTTCCAGTGAGCACTCAGGGCTGATTTCCTTCAGAATGGAGGATCTGGAGATACCCCAATTCAAATCTTCCCTTAGCCATGAAAAACCACAGGTTGACCTTCAGCCAGTTACCATTTCACAGACTAACCTGCCTCACAGCGTTGTTTTGAGGGAGGTGCTTATTTTCTCAAGCTCCTTGGGTATACGTGTAATCAAATTAAGTAAATAAAACAAAATGTATTGTAACAGAGGCAAGGGTCTTTCTGGTCCATCACTCGGGCTCTTAGTCACTACGCTATATCAGCCAAGACTCCAGTGCCTCCTCCTCCAGTGGTGAAGCTGTTTTGAATTTTCTCACAACCAAAGGATGACAGAACAAAGGCCTCTTCCCCACTTAAAAGGGAAGAGGGCTATTCACACGAGAGTGTTTTAAAAGAGCCTGACCTCCTGCTCTGCACACTTTTAGTGGCTGAGCGGCTGTTTTCTCCCCGTAGACCTTTTAGTCCTGTTGAATAAGTATCTAGTTCCTTTCAATAAATTCTGCGCATTTTGATGGCAAAGTGACTACACGTAGCTGAAGTGACAGCTGCTAGCGACAGGCGAGAGCTTGTTAAGCCCAAAAAGATGTCACATCATTTTCATAGCGCTGCTTGTCTTCTATTTTTCAGCAGCTCTCTGCAATGAGCATAGAGTAATGTCATATATATATATATATATATATATATATATATATATATATATATAGCAGCCAGAAACAGGTAGTCAATGAGGGTGTTTATTCATTGAAGGTCAGGCTTTTGTATTATGAAACTTCCAGCAGATGCGATAAGCAGTAAATTGCAGATCTATCACTGCCCCCCTCCCTTCCCAGCGAGCGTGCGCGGGAAATCAGCAGAATCCTGCCTCTGTTTGATTTATAGCCCACTTTTGACCAACCCTTATCTAGTTCCCACAAGCCCTTTTCTGATGCAGCTCATGTCTGAATGACAATAGACAACCACTGCCATTATGCTCCAAAATCCCTCTCTGCATTCTAGACACCTAAGATTACATCTGGGCTATTGATTTATTACTGCCTCCCCCACCCCACTACCCCTCCCGGGACCAGTTTGTTCACCCTGAACAAGATAGACTATTATTAAACTGAGCAAACAACTCCATGTGAACTTGCTAAGGGAAATAATCATTTGCAGCCACCTTTCTAAGAACCTGGATGCACAAAGCAACAGAGGCGTTGAAATATTAAGGCTATTTTTATGTCTGTAGCCACCAGTTGTGCTTTGCTCAGATTATATTTAATTGATGCACAATGTGCGATAGCATAAACATTCTCTCCCCCCCCCATCTTGTAGTGCCTCTCTCAGAACCTTCAGATACTGCAGTCCTCCTGTGGATACTTTCCAGTTTGAATTAAAACCCAAATAATTGGAGGACTCTGCTTCCTTGCCTGTTACGGTAACACCATCCCCATCAGAGGCAAAGAGGTTTTACAGCACCTCTTGGAGCCTCAGCAAAACACACACACATCCTCTTTCAATTTGTGAGAGATTTCTGGGAGATATAAATATCCTACAGCTATCATCATCTCTGTAGTCCCACTTGCACATTGAAATGTGATGTGATGGCAATAACAGTTGTGTTGTTATTTGTGTGTTTGTTTGTTTTTATTTAATATCTTCCATCTCAGCTTCAGCAGTAGCATATGATGCGGTTTCTCTTGGGTGCTAACCATGTGGGTGTTGCAGAAATGCTTCTCCCTGGATAGAACAAAGACAGTCCTGTTTCGCCTCCAGAGGGGTTGCTAGGCTTATAAAATTTCCCTCCGTCACCGACTGATCACCTAGAGTGCAATATTTCTGCCAGCCACTGTTACCCCACCATTGTGGGACTGTAATGTTGTTGTTGGTTGCTGGCATCAACCTCTCTCAGGAGACAGTGGAAGAGGGACCCTTTGGGGGCAACGTCAAATCACTGGAGGGTTACAGTGCTTGCTGCAGATCGTGTCCTCCCTCAAAGAGGGGACGTGTTGCAGTGCGACCTGACAACCAAACCCTGTGTTGTGGGTGGGTACAACCTTACAAGTTGTGACAATTTGCTACGCGGCAGGCAAAACCCAATGGCAGCAGCCAATCAGCCAAGTGGGGGAAATTCCTGCCATGCCCCTGTCCCAAAGACAGACGACACATGACGGCATAGCAAGGTCAATCGCAATACGCCTTTAAATTAGGGAGAGGTGGGCGGGTGTTCCAATGCATGAGCGAAAGAGGAAGCTCTGGGACATGTGCATGGGTTTATATAGGTCCCTTGATCCGTTTAGACTGCACCCCATTGGCCAGATTAAACCCAGCAGCGGGGGATCTACCAATCGGGTGTTGTGGCTATCCAATAGACCCACCCACAACCAGGAGGTCAGTCTCCAGGTCTCACCACAACACGTCCTCTTCTAGGGAGGACACGATTTGTGTGCAGGAAGAGAAAGGGACAAGGAGCCTGGACATGGGACCTTTTGATAACCCCTGCCCATGGAAGCCCAGCAGAACCTCCCATTGAAATTATGAGATCTAGCCATGAATTCCTTTGGTCCTTGGGCAGGTTAAAGTTGGTGAACCAGAAAGGGGGTCAGATAGAACCAATTTCAACCTCTTGCCCATGAGTAAGGAAAGTGCTGTTTACAGCCCAGCCACGTGAAAACTGTTGTCTGCAAAAGATTCTCATGATGCTGGGGCCGCATCTGCAAGATGCAAACATCTGGGCAAGGCTGATTATTACACGGGCCTTTTCCTGGAAATCAACACCCCACCCAGAGGGAGGAAGCCAATTCCCAAAGAAAAACTGGCCCCACCCATGCTGGTGGGTTATTCTGGGTTATTCAGGCCCTCCGGATCTCCTCATGGAGAAACAGCTTTCACATGCTTAAAGCAGGAGTGGGGAATCTGTGCCCCCCCCCCTTGAAGTTGCAGGATTTCAGCTCCCATCAGCCCCAAGCAGCATGGTCAATGGTCAGGAATGGTGGGAGTTTTAACCCAGCAACATCTGGAAGGCCACAGTTTCTCCCAAGTATCTCACAGGATCTAGAATTCCACACTGCTGTGCTACATTAAATAATATATTCAATAAAACCCACTGGGTTTCTTTTCTCCTGTTATTGAAGGTGGGGAGGTTGTATTTTGTTTTGCTTCACTTTGCTTACTGTATGTTTTACGTGTGTTCCCCTCGATCAACTTCCTTGGTAAATACTGATGCATCTGAGAAGTAGTGCCAAAATTCCTCCTATTCCTCCTATTCCTCCTCCCTATCCATCACTTTTCCTTAGATTGTAAGCCTGAGGTGATTTCCTGGCTTATTAGTTATCATTGCAAGCTGTTCTGGGATCCTTTTCGGCTGAAGAGGACAATTAAAATCCAGTCCATACATACATACATACATACATACATACATACAGGTAAAGGTAGCCCTGACCGTTAAGTCCAGTCGCAGACGACTCTGGGGTTCCGCGCTCATCTCGCTTTATTAGGCGAGGGAACCACCTTTTGTCCGCAGACAGCTTCCAGGTCGTGTGACCAGCATGACTAAGCCGCTTCTGGCGAACCAGAGCAGCGCACGGAAACGCCGTTTACCTTCCCGCCGGAGTGGTACCTATTTATCTACTTGCACTTTGACGTGCTTTCGAACTGCTAGGTTGGCAGGAGCAGGGACCAAGCAATGGGAGCTCACCCCGTCGCAGGGATTCGAACCATCGACCTTCTGATTGGCAAGCCCTAGGCTCTGTGGTTTAGACCACAGCGCCACCCGCATCCCAGATACATACATACAAACATAAATATTGGAGAAACGCTGTGGTTGAACCAAAAAGGTGCTGGCACCTCCCAGCTGCTGCTGCTGCTGCTGCTGCTGTTGTTGTTGGCTTTCAAAAGGTAGCCCAAGTGCTTCATTGTTCTTATTATATTTACCCTTCCATCAGCGCAAACCAGTACAGTCATACCTCGGGTTCAATGTGCTTCGGGATGAGCGCATTCGAGTTGCACTCCGTGGCAACCCGGAAGTAACGGAGCGTGTTACTTTCGGGTTTCGCGGCTTGCGCATGTGCAGGCGCTCAAAATGACGTCACGCGCATGTGAAGATGCGCTGAAACGTGACCTGTGCACGCGCAGACGTGCGGACATGGGTTATGTTTGCTTCTAGATGCGAACGGGGCTCCGGAATGGATCCCGTTCCCATCTAGAGGTACCACTGTATACCTGATGAGCTTCATAGGCAAGAATCCTGTATCCATGCCCATCAAACTCCACTGCAGAATTTTCACCATCATCCTCACCACACTTAGTTCCCTGCCCACATGTTCATAACCCAAGTTGGCAGCCCCTGGCACATTCAAATTCCATGCTGCTTGAATTCATTCGTGCTAGCCAAGAGTACTTTTCATTGTCCAGTGCTATGACACATCTCAAACTTTTTAAAGTAGAGTTTGTATTTTCATTTCTCTTTTTTAAAAAGGGAATGGTGTTTTGTTTTAATAAGCTCTCCCCCTCCTTCCCCCTCATCTTTTCTCTTTGGTTTTTCTCCTTCCTTGGGGAAGGGGTGTGGGGAGAGAGACACCAGTTAAGGCTATTTTTGAAGATATATTATGGTATTTTTCTTACCAGCTGAGCTGTCTCTTAATCCAGCCCAACATGTTGTTTGCTTTTTTGACTGCTGCTGGGCCTTCAGCAGGTGCTTTCATCAAGCTGTCTACACCAATGCCTAGCTCCTTTTTCCTGAGTGGCTACATTTAATTTAGAACCCATCAAGGCGTATGAGCAGTTCAAGCAGATTCTGTCCATGGTGTATTCCCAGGCAAAGTCTGCTGTGGATTTCATCTGCTCCTCTTGTCCAATTTCTACATATATTATTAAGTCTACTTCCAGCAAAGCATTTTGCTGCATGAATACAGATGTGCATTATTAAACTAATATTATTGCAGAATAAATTATTGATTACAAAGAATAATAGACGATTAAAAAATAGCTTTTCCTGTTTATAAAGGGAAAGGCTAACTTTGTCTTCATCTTATTATTACCATTACTATTATTTGTATTAAATTTCTTATACATGTGACTGGCATTTTTTACATTTCCTTTTTTTATCGTACCCTAAGTGTGCTTATCTGACATCTGAAGGCAGCCCTGTTTAGGGAAACTTTTAATGTTTGATGGACTACTGTATTTTAATATTTTGTAGGAAGCTACCCAGAGTGGCTGGGGAAACCCAGCCAGATGGCGGGGTATGAATAATAATAAATTATTATTATTATTATTATTATTATTATTATTAATCTTCAATGGTTGGGCACTTTTCCAGTACGACGCCTCAGGCCCCCCATGGTCCAGCCAGGAAGCAGCTATTGGAGGGTTTTCCCAGGCTAGCGCAACTGCCAAATGGGTCTTGTGTGGGTCAGGGAAGTGGCCTGTGGCCTGCCTGATATTTGACCTGTCATGGGCAGACTACTCAGCTGACTCCACCTCAGGGGTCTCCTCTGTGGTCAGGGCCTTTTCAGTGGTGGTGCCCCACTTATGGAGTCCAAGGGAAGCTGAGCTCCCACCTCCTGTTTTCCATTGAGCATCAGGGTAAGACTTTGTTTCCCCAGGTCTTTAAAGGTCTCTCTCTTCTTAATGTGTTCAAACTCCTGCTTTCTTGCTGGTTTTATTATGATTGGCATGTTTTCCTGCAGTGCATTGATTGTTGGCTGCATTTATCATCATCATTTTTTTATTTGTATGCCCCCTTTCCTTAGTTAAAACAATGCTCAAAGCGGCTTACATCATTACAGGATTTACGTAATTACCAACATAACAAAAGTCATAAACAACGAATAAATGAAGCACAATCAAAAGGAACACAACCAAATGGAAAACAATTCCCACATAAATCATAAAATCTAAAACCAAAAAATACAGCATTAATATCAATAACAATTTAGAATGACATAGATAAAAAATAAAAATGATTTTTAAAAAGATCCATCTGTGTCAAGCAGCAGCAGCAGTCCTTTATGGAGCCCGCCAGGCCCCACCCCAAGCCAGGGGGAGAGACGTAGGGCAGGGCCCTCAGGCTCCCAGCAGGTCAGTCGTGAACTGCGAAGGACCCATGTTGTCACTGGGTGGTATATAAATATAACAATTCCAAGTCAAAACTGTTAATAAACCAAGGCGGCAAAGGAGTAAGGAGGAGTTAGAGCAGCAAATACACTTAAGTTGAAGATCGGTCATCAAACTATTGAAAAAGAAGCCCTCTGGGTAAATAATAGCCATGTGGCAGTTTTGCCATTCATATACTAATTCTAAATTTCAACCACTGAGAAGCTACCTACCTTCCAAACTATTAAAAAGTAGTAGCCTTTATGAACACTGATCTAGTTACATCATTTTCTAGCAGTAGTAATCGTAATAGTTTATTGATTTGTGAATTGTCTCATGTAAATTTACAATCATGCCATCATATAATATATACATAGTATATAATACATATTATTGACTGAAGCAAACGCTTTTTCCTACCCCTTTCCAACAGAAATGTAGCAATCATATTGCATTTCTGTATAGATAGAATAATACACACAAAGGGGAGGGGGGAGAGAGAGATCTTTTAAAAACAAAAATCCTACGACGTTTTTAATGCATTTCATGACCTGAAATATTTGACTCCAGACTTTAAAGGTTTGAGGTTGGCAACAGCTGTCTCTTTCTCCCATTAGGAAAGGCACCATGGAAGTATTAAAGAAACTGTAGGACAAAAATATGTCTGCCATCAGCACTGTCAGTCCTAGCAATCATGGCCGGTTTGACGGCTTTTATATGAGTTCCTGCATATGTTTCTGGAAATCGGTGGGCTATTGGAGAATGCTTGCCTCTCGCTGACTGTATCTTCTCAGTCCGAATTGTGTGTGAATGGGAATTAAGGAAACATACACAAGGAGAGGGGTGTCTAATTCTCTAAGAAGCACATTTCCATTCATGTGGGAGTTGCAAGACATGCCAGTGGTCTTTCATAATCTTTCAGTCTACTCTTTGTTTGTCATTTCATTTCCTTTGTGGTGCCAACATTACTAGACGGCTCAGTGACACAGATGCTCAAGTAGTGAATACTCAACTTCTTTTCCCCTCTCTCTATCCCCCCACCACCTACATCTTTTTTTCTTTTTGGCTTAGTGAAGGCTTTTCCCTTAGCCATGGAAACACCCTGTTCCCTTATTGGAGTTGACCGGAAAAAAAATCTTGATTTATCTGTCTAGAAGCATTTCCTGCTTTAAGTTTTGTTTTAGAGCAGAAGCCTGTTCTCTTCCATTTGCCTCTGCCTATGTCCTTAGCAACCCAGAATATAGAGAATGTCCCGAACAACCATTGCATTGCCATAATGTGGTTGCAATAAAGGTCATAAATGGAGCCTGCCTGGGAATTAATTCAAATAAGAAATTGACGTGCCAAGTTCAGTCCTCTGCTGGGCATGTTAATAATGTCACTTGTGTGATTGCTGCCAGAGGACATCCTAAACCCAGGACTTGCAGCTCACTGGCCCTACCCTTGGGGCTCCCTTACTAGGACAAAAGCAGAGCCCAGAGGTCAGAAAGAGACTGCGGCGGCATCACTGCCGGGAGATAACTATTCATCTCCTTAAAGTATGGGCTAGCTTCTTGAAAGATTAATGTTGCTGGTGTTCAGGCATTTAAAAAATAGCACTGATTTCATCCCTGGACGGACTCCAGTGAAGTGACAACAGGGGTGAACTGGGAAGCGGCAAAGTCCTTGAGTTGCCATATGGCAAACATTTATAACTTCAGCAAGGCTGTTGCAATATCCTAACAAGTCATTCAAAGGGTCTTTTTTGGGGGGGGGAGATTCAGCAATCCGATCAAAAGAGCCAGAATATGGGGTGGTGGGACAGTGGGGTGGGTGGGGGACCCTTGCATCTGCATTTCTTGCACAAATAGGGAAGAGAAAGAACCAAGGGGACAAACGCGGAAAATGCGACTAAAGAAATGATGCGCGTGTTTTTAGTAATGATAAAGGAGATTACTTACTTGGCCGTGTGTTTGTGGAAATGTTTAGAATGAGAACAGTGGCTTCTTGTTTTAAAAGGAGGGGGGACTGAGGAAAGAGTGGGCAGTCCACAGGCTACATATGTACCAGGCCTTACTAGGGTTGTTGGAACCTGTTTTCATTAGCAGAGCCCAGTGACAGATGTGCTGCAACAGAGGAAAGAATGATTCTCTGAGTCCACCCACACAGAGCTGGGGCTTGAGGAAGGCAGGTGAGGCTTTCGGATTACGATGTGTGACTTCTGGGCAGGCTTCCGTGCCAGCACCTCCTTTTTTTGAGAATCATGAAATCACAGAATTGTATAACCAGGGCCGTCTTACCCATAGGCCCTAGGGGTGTGGGGCACCTGGGCGCTGGGCTCTCAAGGGGGCCAGGCCTGAGTCCAGGGCCTGAGAGTTGAGTCCAGGGAAGAGCCCATCTGTTGGTTGGGATGCTACAGTGGCTCTTCTGCTGCGGCTCTGCACCGCAAGTTCGGAGACAACTAAGCCAACGAGATGCTGAGGCGGCCAGCCGGCCAGCTCCGCCCTCCTAAGTGCCTGGGACTGGGCAACCTAGGGGGGCACTGGGCAGATCTTTGCACCCTGGCACCGCATATGCTTAAGACAGCCATGTGTATAACTGTAGCGTTGGAAGGGACCACGAGGGTCATCTAGTCCAATCCCCTACAACGCAGGAATATTTTGCCCATTGTGGGGCTTGAACCCACAACCCACAATCCTGAGATCAAGAGTCTCATGATATACTGAAAAATTAAACCCCAGCTGCCTTTTCAATAGGCATAACTAAGTATCCAGTGCTTTCTGAATGTACTTCAAGTAAGAAAGTAGTGACGCCCTGGTAACTCCACAAGCACTGGTTCAGATGTACATTCTCAGCAATTCATGACTACACCATCTAGTGATGTCCTGGGGATGCACCATGACAGACATATCTGTGACAAAATGCCCATGTTTCTGCATGTCACCTCAAGCACAATGGAGTCTGATATCTTCACTTGCAGTCACCAGGTACAGCAGCTTTCCCCAGCCCAGGGCCTTTCAGAAGTTGTTGGACTACAGTTCCCATCATCCTTGACCATTGATCATGCTGACTGGGGGTATCGGAGTTGAAGTCCAACAACATCTGGAGGGCCAGAGGTTAGGGAAGACTGAAGAGCACAATAATACAATGATGTAGATGTGAACCAGCTGTAAGTCTCAGCATGTTAACAATGGTCTGTGCCAGAGCTGGGGAAACTCAGGTCCTCCAGATGTTGTTGGACTCCAACTCCCATCACCCATGATCATTAGCCATACTGGAAGTTACATTCCAAAAATGTCTGGAGGGCCAGAAGATTCTAAACCATAGCATAATGTCCCATTTTGGGCCATCCAGCCATGCTTGTTTGTTTATTCACATACCTGCCCTGCTCACATCTGAAACAGGGGACAGCATATGCAACATACCACAAAAACCGCACCACCTGCTACTGGTAGGCTCTACCACTTTGGATTGCAACCGTAGAATTTCTTTTCTTTCAGTCTTTCCTGTTGCATGTGGGATAGGGTGGGAGGTTTCACAAAAAGGCATCTGGGAGGGTGAAATGTAGGCCAGAATGTTTGGGCAGATGGCTTCTTCAAGCTCTGTCCAACCACAAATCAGATAGATAGATAGATAGACAGATAGACAGACAGGCATTATTGACATCATTGTAGTTGTAGGTTTTTAAAAAATATATAGAACTACTATTTTGATCACTTCCTAGGTTAATCGAAATTTGGCCAATTCATCTATCCACCCTCCTTTGGTCCATGTGAGGCTGCAGTGGCAGCAAAAGAGCTACCCCCAGCTGGTCTTGCTCCCTTGCCAAGCTCTGGAAGTCTGTCACTGCCTTTCATGCTCCGCTTAGAAGCATTCCATATTGTGTTAATCCTTGTGGTTAGCAAGATCTTTCTGGCAAGTCTGCCAAATTCTTTCTAGTGCTTAACAAGACAATTCTCTCCCACTGTACTGTAGGTTACGGGGAGAGCCAGGGTCTTAATTCATCCCATGCCTACAGTAACGTGTGTGGAGATTACCCCCAGAATCCCACTGGCTGCATCAAAAGTGCCTGGATCGGGTACCTGCTGTGCTCAGGACTCTGCAAGGGTACGTGTTCATCTAAACACATATATTTTATGCTTTGCCAAAGCAAACTCTGCTGTTTTTGGCTGAGTTCCTAGTTGTGTTTCAAATGCCGATTTCATGGCTCACCTCATCGCCCCCATACATGGCTGAGCACTAGACCCACTGCACCAATTCCACTTTCCTTACTGCCCTGTCTCTTCCGAAATGAAAGGACCAGGGAAGAGGGCCCCCCTCCTTTCTTTCTTGTCCTCTCCTTCTCTCTTTCTTTCTCCCCGTTTCTGGGCTGGAACACGCTGTGTTTTGATGCCATGTCCCAGCTGATTGAATGCCTTCCTCTTGACACACAGTGTGTGGGTGATGTGGCTGCCTTTGTGCAAAAAAAGAAAAGGGAAAAAGAATGAGAGCTTCAATATCCTGTTCTGAACCCCCAAAAGAGAGGCAGACTCATACAGGTTCCTCCCCTGCTAGCAGCAGCAGCAGATCTTGTTTTCATTAAAGGAAAAAGTGTGGCCACATATATTCTCCATGAGATTTAAAGACACGTTTGCATGCTCATGATTGTGAAGCAGTGACTCTAAATCAGTAGAGCAATGATAAAGCTTGTGTACTTTTAACAAAGTACTGAAACCAACATCATGGCACTTCAGGAGCATTTTGTAAAGGGAATTGTCTCCCAGGCTCCTTCAGAAAGAAAGAAAAACCAGATGGACCTTCCTGTGGAGAGAAGAATGTGATGTTTTCTCTAATTGCTGATGGAGGTTGGTGTGTCTAACTGCTCTCCTGCAAACGCAAACCCCAGAACCTTGTATGCAGAAAGCTAACATGTCAGGCTGAAGGATTTGGCCTAGTCTTCCCACTGAGATGTTATTTTTCATGTAGCATCACCAAAAATACAAACTCCTACTTAAGCCCCTGCAATGTCATAGTCCATGGCTGATTCTGCTATGCCACTTTTAGGAACTGGGCTTTTAGACTACAGCTACCATAGAAGGTAAAGGTAAAGGGACCCCTGACCATTAGGTCCAGTCGTGACCGACTCTGGGGCTGCGGTGCTCATCCCGCTTTATTGGCTGAGGGAGCCGGCATACAGCTTCCGGGTCATGTGGCCAGCATGACTAAGCCTCTTCTGGCGAACCAGAGCAGCGCACGGAAACGCCGTTTACCTTCCCGCCGGAGTGGTACCTATTTATCTACTTGCACTTTTGATGTGCTTTAGAACTGCTAGGTTGGCAGGAGCAGGGACAGAGCAACGAGAGCTCACCCCGTTGCGGAGATTCGAACCGCCGACCTTCTGATCGGCAAGTCCTAGGCTCTGTGGTTTAACCCACAGCGCCACCCGCGTCCCTACCATAGAAACACAGACTTAAATCATTTGGGTAATAAGTTGCACTTATTTTTGTTTTCATGAATATTGTTTTCGAACCCCTCAATAGAAGCCTACAAACTTTTGGATCTGAAAACTGTACAGCATTGAACGAAACATTTTTCTTGATTCAGTTTCATAGCATTTAGATAAGTGCATTGCACACAAAAAAGAGAGGGAGCCGGCTGTTTGTCTGGTCATTGCAATCGCAGTGCATCCTCCCAGTGAACACAAGTCGCTAACCAAATTCCTTTACAACACACTGTGCAAGAGAGAATTTTTGTCCGCGGGAAGCATTGGCAATGTGCATAAAAGGAGTGAAGCTTCTCTTGCCTGCACTTGACAGCACTCCTCTAATCAGCAGTTTTCTCATCCTGGAGATCCTCCTTGAGGTTTGCAGATGACCACACATAACGATGTGGTTTCTTGTCAACTAGCAGTAATTTCGCCGGACAGCAAAATGTACTGCGAGAGACGACTGCTTTGCAAGTGAAATGGGGATGACCTACTTTTCCAAGTCTGCATTTGCACAGTGCCCCTCTAATCTCTTTCAATAATATTTAGCTAGTGGTAACAGGATGCTGAGCACCACAGAAAACATTACAAGTCATAATTCAGTGGAATTACAGGGGTGGGAGGAAACAGAAAACTAACAAATAGCACTTTGTACACGGCATTGACTTACTTTCATTTGTTACTTACACTGCTTCTTGTTTTTCTTTCAAAGAGTGCAAAGTGGTATATAATATTCCCTCCACCCCCATCCTTACCACAACCCTTTCAGGTAGTTGTATTAAGCTTGCCCAAGTAGGCTTCATAGCTGTGTGAGAATTTGAACATCGAACTCCTGCAATCCTAAACAGACACATTAGCCATGGCACCACTCCATTCCCCCTCTCCAACATGTACACACACCAAAAAAATAGTCATTGTGCCCCACATTGGAGGATTTATAGTGCTCATCACAATCTGGGATTTGCATGCAGACGGGGTGAGAGATGACCCAAAGTGAGGGCAAGTTTCACACCAGCAGTGGCCAAGGCATGGGGGCGAGAAGGGACGGGTGCTGAGAGGGAGAAAGTGGTGGTTTAAAACAATGGGAGAAGTTTAAGTAAAGCAGGGATGAAGAGACCTAAGAGGAAAACAGTGATTTAAATCAACAGCAGAGGTTTTAGTGAAGTACTATGGAATATTTTAGGTCTTCACATCCTTCATCTCTCTCACACATGGGGCAGCTGAGGACTGGACAAGGGAGAAGTGTGAGAGGGAAAATAAAAGGGAAATAGTGGCTTTGAACACAAGTGGTTTCGGAAATGGGGCTGGAGAGGTGGAAAGCAGGCTTCATTGTCGCATGCTGTGGTAAAGTGAAGCTCATGGAAGGCCGTGGTTCTGATGGGGCTTCTGGGCTACAGAGTCTGAGGATGGCAACACAACCTCCTCAGGCTGAAGCTGTGCCAGAAATATGGGCTTCTGGCCTGGAGCTTCTGGGACCACTGGGGTTGGTTCTGAGGACAACTCCCTCTCTTGCTCTGATTTTCCTTCTAGATTCCAGGCCTCATCCCCTGAGGATGGGGAGTCAGATCACAAGCTTTTATATCCCGTT